GCCAGGTCTGAGTGGTCCCCTTGCTCCTCAACGTGCGAGAAGGGCTACTCAGTCCGAGAGCGTACCGTCGAGGCATGGGTGTGTCCCTGTGCAAGCAGCGCTTGCAGCCAAGACAGCTGGGCCCTTTTAGCCAAGATCCGCTTGTTGGTAGGTACCTCCCCAAAGAGGCGGAGAAGCTTGTCCTTCAGCTTTGAAGGAGTTGAGTCCAGATGCAAGGGGCGAGCTGCAAAGGAGCAGTTTCCAATGCAGGAGATCCAGAATTGCAATGCCGGCGTCAGTTGTTTTGAGGGCCGCGTGCGCATCTCAGATTGGCATGACAGTGTGCGGACTTGTTTGTGGCGAGCTTGAGAGACATTCAGAGCCGGGTCTACGCCCTGGTCACTCAGAACCAGTCTTTTTTGCACTTTGGAGTTTGCATCATTGCTTGTGTGCAGCAATTTTACTCTTTCTCATCCGTGACTCATCTAGGTTGACTGTGTATGGGAAGCCTGGACTGAATGGAGCGGGTGGCATCCTTAATTTCGAATAGTTGCAGAAGTGGCCGCGATCAAGCCATTTAGATCAAGGTGTGATGCGTTCGACAAGATGACGCGCACACGTGGTTATGCTCGTCATGCCGCTCATTTCTTAGAATGGCTTGTGTCACACAACTAGCTCAAAGCGGCTAGAGTCCGCTGGAATATCTTAGCAATTTCTTCTCTTCCTAAGCAACTGTCATGGGACTCTGCATGTCATAGGTGGCCGGTTTGCGCTCGCTCGATATAGTCCCAGTCTGCAATGCTTTACCTGAAACGCTGTTAAGCTGGCTGAACGCGAGCATATGCCTTGATTTGATCGACCACTGCCATTTTGTGCTTCAGCCCGGTGGTCATGCCTCAAAGTGCTTGCTGTCAAAATGCCGCTACGAAAAATAGCCTCAGATTCTAGATTCGTGAACTGCGGGTATGTTGCTTCCATGCATCGGTTTGGGTGCTTCTCGATGAGTCTTTGTGAATGCTCTCCTGGCCCAAACTCATCTCGGTTGGTTCTCTGATCCGCAGGTCTTTGTCACTGTCAGCTACCATGCAAACTTGATACGCGGTTGTGCTACGGAACAGCTGCACCTTTTGCGCGGCCTGGAGCCAAATGTGCGCTGCTGGTGCAGTTTTCAGCCACTGCTATCCTTTGCAAGAAGTCGGTGGTCGTGCCCCAAAAGTGCATGTCAAAAAGGCCAGCAAGGGCATTCACAGCCATCGCTACCTTTGCAAGGGTTGGTGGTCATGTCATAAGACATATGAAGCAACTTTTTCAACAAGCTGAGCATTATTGTTTCGGGGTGGTGGCAACTAAAATGCATTTGATTTTATCAGTTTTCTACACACACACCAGCCCTCAACTTGCTATGCAACGTGTGCTTTTGAATCTTCTGCGCTTTGAGTTGTAAAACAGTTGCAGTTTCCAAGGCAAACGGAGGACTTGAATGCTCTGGCAGCTTCCGTGCCATCAAGGGTTGCAGCAGTCCTGGTTCGGGTTCGTGCCCAGTGGCATGGCAAGGGACTGAGGTTTGACGTTGCGACGCGCGCTGAAAGTCGCAACGAGGCTCCATCGTGATTCGCCGTGCCGTCCAAGGTACAACTGCTCCTGGAGTGCGAGCCTTGACCCAGACGAAATGCCTTGACTTTCCTTGACTCAACTTTGATTTGATAGTCATTTGAGTCCTTTGCCAGGTGTTTGGTCTGACTGGACTTCGTGCTCAAAGACATGCGGTCGAGGAGGAGCTTTGAGCTGAGTGACTTTGAACACTCGCTATTTGCCCCGTGGGAAGCGTCCCAAGAAATCCAATCCAAGGCTCGAACTCGAAGTCGCGATCTTCAGGCCGGAGTACGCGTTTCTACACAACTCCTCAGGGGACATTTGAAGCTAATAGGAAGTAGAGAAGACAAGCACTACCTGCACTAGATTCACTAGATTCACTAGATTCACATTGGGGCAGTTGCTCCAGAGCCCTTGGTGTAGATATATTTCTTTCTTGCGACTGGCAGTGGACTTTGAAGCAGTATGTTCGGGTTCGAGAGGTGAGCGAGAATCCAGTCGAAGCTTCGATGCATGCCTCGGCCCCGGCCTGAGATACTCAGTTTGTGTGACATTAGAATGTGCGCAAGCAGGCGCAGGTAAGCAGAGAGGTTGTGGACAGGCCCATCGCATGGATTTCACCTTCTGTTTCATGGTCAACATTTGGCTGGAGCGATTTCATTTGTGGGCTTTGGGAGGCCTGTGATCGCGGACGATGACGGGTCCAATGCGCAAAGCTTGGCGAGTTGCCTTGCCACTTTGCCGAACTTGGAGCACCTAAGGTTGACTTCAAGTGTGCCGACAATTTGTACTGGAAAGATCAGTGGCCTGCTGATGTGGGAGAGTACTGCTGCCCAGTGCTCAGACATGTGGGCTCCTCTTTCTGACCGTTCCTGTTGATCACCCTTTGCTTCTCCAAGGCAAAAACCAGCAGGTGTGCGAGGACTAACATCCGTCTCTTTTGGTGTGGAGCTTTTTGCCGTGCATGGCTTGAGCATTGCACAGTGCAGGACGCACAGCAGGTATCTCAGCAAAGCAAACCATAGTTGAAGCATTCGACGCTCATTGAGACGCTTGGCGAGCCTCAGGCCGAGCTTCCCAAGCTCCAACGCCTTTGATGACCTGCCGGTATCCTCAGAATCTTCAGTCTACAGAGAGTCGGTGCATCCAGCCTTTAGCTTCACGTAGGTCACCAGAGGACACTGTGATCCGGCGATATGACTTGTCACTGCTCAAAGCCAAGGCAGGGTGAGTGAAGAGCAGTCAACCACAGTCCCAGAGAGAGGGAGAGAGAGAGAGAGAGAAAGGCAGAGAGAGAGAGATGTAAAAGTGAAAGTGATGTGGTGACGTGTTGTCAACTCTGTTGATCCCAAGTCGGTCCGCAATCGCACTATTTGTCCATGGCACACTGTTGATTCTGAGATCGAGACTCAAGGGTCCTAATTGACCCAAAGGGCGGCGGAGTGTGGATATTTCCACCGCAAGCACTGCAAGCTGCTGATACATCTTAGCACGCTCCCGCAACCTGACAAAGGAGTTTTCAGGTTGAAACTACACACGGGGTTGGAACACCTTCCTGTCGGTGTTGAAGCGGACGAATGCACTGTGCAGCTATGCGTCTGACTCAAACCTCGCCTTCGATGTTCATGAGAGCAGTAAATATTTTCTTTGCATCTTCTTAGCTTGGCTTTAATCTTGATTCAAATCCAGTGCTCCCCGCGGTACTGGTTCATCTCAGGGACGTGGGAGGCGACTGAATCCGCACTGTTGATCTCAGCCACATACTGAGGCAGTTGACATCCTTGCAACCCAAAACAGAAATCGCGGAGAGATTGGCGCCCGCGTTGCACTGGTGGCAGATGAGCCAAGTCGGCCCGCAATCGCACTATTTGTCCATGGCACACTGCTACAGTTGATTCTGAGATCGAGACTCAAGGGCCCTAATCGACCCAAAGGGCGGCGGAGTGTGGATATTTCCACTGCAAGCACTGCAAGTTAACAAGAGAGAGAGAAAGAGCGCAAGAGAGAGAGAGAGGGAGACGGAGCGAGAGAGGGAGAGAGAGGGGGAGGTGGGGGAGGGAGACTCCATGGACAGTGGATCCGAACGGAGTGGACAAGGCTTTCCTTGTGGTGTGAAATTCAGGTAGCCCCCAGCGAACTTTGGCGCACAGTGGTCCACACTGTCATGTAGGGCATTGATCCACACTTTTGCAGCAAGAGTTTTTTAGTGACCATGCCGCCCTGACAGCTGGCATGGTCTAACGTCATCAACATCAAAACAAATGTTTCGATGGTCAAATTTTGCTCAGGTGGATGCGGCGGAGGCTGAGCACGCTAAGGCCTGGATGGGCAATGGGCCAAAGGCGGAGCGAATTGCACGTGGCAAAAGTGGAAATTGCTGGCAGTTGAGTGTTTTGGACATGAAGTATACATGTTTGCAAATGTGCAGGAGGCAACACGTCATGTGTGGGTCACCCAAGGAGATGCACATTGCGTTTGCACTTGGCTGTCTGTGCCAGCAGCTCAGACTGGCTTTTGAGCTTCTGGTGAGTGCCCGGACATTGCAAGGTCTCGTCGCTCTACTAAGCGGTGAAAGCCTCAAAACTGGGTGCAAATATAATGGCATGCCTGTAGTTCAGGTGTTTGTACTCGGAGCCGATCCTCGCAGCAAGCACTTCCGCGGTGGCTTGCCCAGTTGAAAGCAAGACTGATGTGGTGCATTGCCGATCAGTCTGAGGTATGATGCGGTGCCGCAGGTCTTGTGAAGTCGGGGTTAAGCCATTGTAGTTCGTGTGTGGGTTGATGCAGCCTCCAACTGCTCTCGAGCCTGCACGATTCGAGCCATTTTTGTCCTTCGACGTGCACCAAAGGTTGCAATGTGTCCCAATTCAGCAGATGTGTGCTGATGGAATAAGATTCCGGAGCTCACATCTGCTGGCCCTGGAACTGCTCCCAAGGGCAAGGAACAGATTGTGAAGTGTAGGCTGCGATCGATAGGCTACGGCCTTTGAGCTTTGGCGCTTGGGGGATTCTTTCCAAATTCGAGACCAAAGGGTCGCGGCAGCATGTGACCCATGCGCAAGAGTATGGCAAAACTCCGTTCCATTTTGTTCGCACCATCATGTAGTCGCGTAGATCATTTTGTTGCAGCTGCAGACGCTGTGTGATTGCGCGCTTGTCGCTTGTGCCCAACTTGCAGCGTGCGGGCGCCGTGTGGCAACTTAGCATTGTGACACTACAACTTTCTCACTTACCAGCTTTACACTAGACCAGCTTGGCATAGCTGCTTCCCCTGCCACAATTCCCGAGCACGAGCACGTTGATGTCGTGACTTGATTGACAGAATACTGCCATTGTCATAGGGCGGATCAGAGCGGATGTTGCGTAGAGGCTGGCCAGGGCATGTGCTGAGACTGTCAGAAGGTTTGTGTTGCACAGTAGCACCATGCGCTGAAACTGCTGGTTTACACAGTACACAGAATTCATACTTCGTGCTACAGCCATAGTCATAGGGCGCAACATCAGAGCTGATGCATCATAGTGCCGTGCATCGTGCTGGCTCTTGCTGAGCTTCGAACTGGCTCTGAAGTGCGTCACTGGTCACCGGTGCAGGCACATTTGGAGCTTCAGCCATCATTGCAAAAGCAGTGAACTCTGTGGGGGAACGTGTGGTCTGAGTCCCATGTACGAAAACCTGTGGCGGGCCTTGTGACACCCTTTTTCTTGCTTGTGGTTGTATTTCTTGTGGGAAAAGTCTTCACTGCGTACCGCCCACTTCTTACTCCGTTCACCAAGCATGAGCCAGTGGCCGCAGACGATGTTCGTGTGAGTGGATTGCCAAGTTGACGAGACTGAAGCTCTGCCCGGTCGCTGAAATGTAAGCGTGCCATTTCCATTCTGGAATGTGCAAGCGACCGAATACTGGTTTCAGGTTGGTTTCAGGTCGGTTTACGGTTGGCTTCGAAATGTTAGAGTTGAATCAAGATAAGAACAGCTCGCTGTGTTTGATTTCAAGCAATCCCAATCCTGATCCAAGTAATGTCGCCGCCAAAAGATAAATAATACTGCACGTCGTCAAGTAAATGGCGGACGCACTCCTTTTAACCCTCGAGCAGCTTGAGCCAAACGCGGAAGCGTTTGGAGGATTGGTACCTTTGGAGAACTGAAACACATGACAACTGCAAACTGTCATGTTTGCAAAAGGAATGAACCTCATAAATGGAAGCTTTGCTTAACCATGGGTTCCTGAATATGTGAAACGGTGGACTGACAACGTCTACCCTACACATGACAATTCCTCCTAGCGAACTACACTCAAGGAGTCCCTTCTCAGCTAAGCATGCCACATGAAGGTTACTGCCCAAACATGTCTTGGAAGTGGTGGTGCATCATTGGCATCGCACCCTGTCAAACATGCATAATGCGCAGTATTCTTCAACTCCCCCTTCCTGCGTGCTGGGAAGGAAGGCATTGCATATGCTGAAGGCAGCTTGCCATTTTGCTGGTGCAAGGGCCTTAGTGAAGATATCAGCTAGTTGCTTATCAGTGGCTATGTGCCTCAACTGGACATGATCATCTTGCAAAACTTCATAGAAGGAATGTAAGTCTATCTTGTGAGTTTTTGACAAGTGCCTGAGCTTCGGAGAATACCCTGAGTGAGCGATTGCTATCACCGCTGAATTGTCTTCGTGGCAGATCAAGTTAACCAGTTTATCAGCAAGTATTTCGCACAACGCTTGAACGGGCAACGCTTCACCGAATATGCCGGCGTCCAAAGAGATAAATTCGGCTTCAGTTGTGGATCGTGACGATGCGGTTTGTCTGCGGCTTGCCCATGTCAATGGGAAGAATGAGTTCGGTCCTTGAAGAACCAGAACCATTCCGCTCGTCGACTTGGAATGCTCAGTCTCTGATGCATGGTCCGCATCAGTGTACAAGTTGATACTCAGCGACTTGAAAGGGAAGTAATACATAAGTCTGAACAACCTCTTGTCGTCAGCCAAGCTCCAACACGTCACTTTCCTGGTTACGTCGTTGATTGGTTTGATCAGATCCGGCCTAGCCAACCTGGCACACCACACAATTTTCATGAGCACCCGACTGGCTGATGTACTTAGAGCACCCTTCTCGTCCCAATCTGTGTTCACAATCGCACCGTCTGGCGCAAAAGGAGTGGAAGCTTCCTTGAAAACTCTCTGTGAAAGCTCCACGTATAGATTGCAGGACGATCGACAGAAATCTACCATATCATAAAAGATGGTGGTTTTTCCCTCAGAGTGGTCATAGACATGCTTTCGGCCGAGAATTCGATCCGCTGCACTTGTTGGATCTATTTCAAGGTTTTCCTCAATTTTGGTCCAGGAGACGTTCCACTTCCTGGCGAGGGCCTGCCAATACGAAGGCTGAAAGATATTGTCAAGGTGTTGACCTCCATCACTTGGTTGAATTTAGCATCCCAATAGTGGAAACCGGCTTCTGGATGCCCATACAGGAAACGGCGTAACCTGACACAAGGCCGTTTTATATGTTGGAACTCCTGAGGCGCAACGTCTGACATTTGAGAAACATTCCCTTCACAAGATCCGTAAGACAAATTGACATTTATCCCAGTCAAACCTGTGGGGCTTGCCTTGAGATCCTGCAGGACCGCTAGGTTAGTGGATTCATCCAGAATGTCATCTCGAAAAACAATTCTGGCTTTGAGCTCTCAGTTCCGGGGTTTCGAAGTGCTTGATTGAAATGGTCATAAGTCTGCCAATGCCCAGAGGTTCTTTTCTGGAACTTCATCGTAGGACCAAGTCTGGTTCACTATTAAACCATTCGCCTCTTTGTCAATGGCTTGCTGATAGCCCACATGCTTATGCAAATCTCGCCTATCTATCAAGTGATGCACGCCCGCAAACACAGTGCTCTCAAGCGGCGACGCACCTGACCATGGCTTCTGGGTAG